ATTATCAACTATCAAATTAAAAGAAATTGTTAACAAAATGATATATATATATACTAAACAGCCCAAATCAAACTCTCACCGTATGACGCAAATTCTCCTCAGCCTGATTGACACTTCCAGAAAAAGAGCCTTCATTATTAGCTCCAGCACCAGGGCCTACATTGATGCTTCCTAAGGAGATCAAAATGATATTTTTACCTTCGATCATATGATCAATGTTGAGAAATTCTGTTTCAGTGCCAGCATTATTGATACTTCCAGAAAAAGAGTCTTTATTGTAGCGGCCGGCTCCAGGGCCTATGTTGATGCTTGCCATAGAGATCAAAATGACATTTTTACCTTTGATCATTTGATCAATCTCAAGATGATTTGTTCCAGAGCCAGCATTAATTCGAGCTTTTTCCACACAGACATCAGTTGTGTGAACCGTTAGCATGCCTTCTGCGATTGGCATCTGTCATGGCTATGATGATTAATAGGTGATGGTAGTAGAACAGTAAACTTTTAGCTTGAACCATCCTGACTTGTGTACTAGAACAGTAAACTTTTAGTTTCAAGTGACAGTAGAATATAATGTATATGGATAGGAATATCCTTATATTCTAATATAATAAAAAAATTGGAAAATAAAAAAAGAAAAAAAAGGTGATTGTACTAGCTTTTGTAACATGTATATGTAGAGAATATTAGTTATCAGTGTTACTAAAAAATTACATTTTTTCTATAAATAACATACTATATATAGAAAAATGCTACAGTAGCCTTAGATTTTTTTTCTCAAATAAGTTATTTTAGTTATTTTTAATGTTGGTATTTATTAAAACAATATAGTTTTAAATTTCTAGAATCCTAATTTTTTTAGAAGTAGGATTGATGTATGGAATAATTGAAAAATAAGACAAACTAATTATTAAGAACTAAACTGTTCACACAACTATAGTTTAGAGATTGAAAGGGCAATTTAGCTAACATGTGTTATTTTGGTATAGTAGTTTCAAATTAATTAGCAGTTTATAGCGGTTTCTTTTAATGTAACAAATAATAGTTTGAATTATTAATAATAACAATAATAATTATTAACTATCGAATTAAAAGAAATTGTTAACAAAAC